TTTATTTCTGAGCAGGGGCAGTTCTGGAGCATATGTGCAGCCAATTCCCACATTTTTCCTGGTGCAAGAGCAGGTCTTGGAGTTCTAATAGCCCTTAGATTTCAAAAAGCATGTTTGTGCGCATTGCTATAGCTATGCATCATTTAGCATTTCTGCTAACCCTTCTTTTGTCAAGATGTGAAATAAAAAACCTTGCAAGATTTCTGAGATTACAAAAACAAAGTAGTTGGACTACTTACTTTTCTATAGTTTGACAACTAGACTAGAGGAAAACACTCCTGCAGTATGGCTTAGGACTTTTGCTAGAGTAAGTACAATTGAATGCATTCTTAACAAGTATGGTTTAGATAGGAGTAAAACAGCCGAAGATAGTCCAGAAAGTAGATGTATTGATATAGGGCACCGAATGGGAATACTTCAGAAGACTTGACAGTTGTATGTTGTTGTTATTTTTGTGTCAGGAACCAGTTATTGAAAGCTATTTTGAGTTTATTCAACTGGCCTGTTTTTGCTCTTTTAAGACAAATTTAGGATTTTTTGTGATCAGTGGCATCAAGAGGATTTGGAGCCCTGATGAATGAATGAAGAATAGAAGCACAGTGTGACCTACATCTTTGTTCAGTTAGGTGCCACTTGGGGTCTTGTGAGATACTGGCAGAATGCTAATTGTGAGCCAGTCAAACAGTCTGGCTCGTATCTGGAGGATTTGCTTTCAGTTGAGGACATGCCAGAGATTAGTTTGTAAAGTACTGAAGTGTCTGTCAAGGTTGACACAAGTACCTCTGTGTCCTGGTTTTGGCTGAGACAGTGTTGATAGCACACCAATGCTTGGGTTGTTGCTGAGTGATGAGAGCACACCTGCCAGCCTGCTGGCAGGGGAAGAGCCACTGTCTTTATAGCTCAGCAACAAGGGACAGGGCAGAGCCAGGGCTGCTGGCCTGAATTAGGGGAAGGGTTATTCTGTACCACATGGCATCGTGCTGTGGGGAGGGCATTGACTGGGCAGGGCAGCAGTCAGCGGGTAGTGAGGCGTTGTGTTGACAGTGGGGCACTGGTTGGCAGGCAGTTGTATTGTTAGCTGGGCATCAGTCAGTGGGTGGTGAGTAATTGCATTATGGATGGGCATATGTATTGGTTATCACCACATTTTTTTGTTTCCATTTTCCTTTTCTGTCTTACTGAATAGTTTTTATCTCAATCCACAGATTCTACTTTGTTTCCAGTTCTCTCTCTCATCCCACTTGTGGGGAGGGGCAGTGAGCAAACGGCGCTGTGGTGCTGGGCTGCTGCTGGGATAAGCCACAAAACCATAAAATCCCACCACCTTACTGTTTGTGCAGGCTTCACAAGGCTCCTGTTTGCAAAATGGGATGTATTTTTGCTACTGTACAGTAGGCTAAACCTTTGGGTTGTCTATGCATGTTTGACACCATAGAGGCAGCCAATTCTCTAATCTGATCCAAATTAGGTATGCTATTTGGATTGCACTTCATAAAAGATTGGATAACTCATAAATGAATAATGTGGGGGAGGAGAAAAGGAGATGATGCTTATGAACAGGTCTAACCAAACAGTTCTTTGAGGAAATGTAATGAGGAGAGAAGGGAAAAAAATCCCTTGAAAACCAATGTCTAAGTAAAAGGTAGAGAATTATAGGCCTCTGTCCTTTTTCCCCTCCCCTTTCACTCCAACATTTTCTTCTTATCTGCGTCCATGATATAATGGAAATGAGGGCAAATGCACAGTCAGAGTTTTGTGTTGGCAGGGTATTTCTTTTATTAAGTGTGAGAAGGTAATGCTTTATCTCATCTTGTTCGCTTTAATGGAGATAAATAACATCGTTCTGGGGAGTGGACAGAAAGATAAATATGAGAAGGAACTGGAAAGCTTAAGAAGTTGAGGCAGTTCCTCTACAAAGGAGGATGGCAAGTTTTCTATTAAAAAAATCAGAGGTTTAAGTAAGAGCTTTTTTTTTTTCTTTAAGAGATATAAACATCTTGTTAGTTCTGCTTTGTTATTTGTATAAGCAATTTGAATATGGGGAGTGTGAGAGTGTGGTAGTGTGAGAGAGCAAGGCGCAAAGACAACAGTGAAAACAGTGTTGGAAAGCTGGTAGAAAGTGCCTAAAGAATGGATTTAAGAAGCTGCACAGAGAAAAGGACTTCAAAAGACAGCAATGACAGAGCTGTTTCAGTAGAAGGTGCCACCTGCTTCCATGCTAGGCAGCCCTTTTCCAGAACTTGGGATGTGAGGGCAAAGGAGCACCGCTATCAGCAGAAAGGAACTGTTTGGTATCTAGACCCTGCGTGACTTGTTGTGCCTGTAAGCACTCTTGACATCGTGATTAGTTTGAGTCTTCGTTAAGATTTTCAATATATATATTTCTGATTGGAACTGTGAGAGGGAACATGTCTTTCACATGTCTTTTGGGGGTTGGACTCGATGATCTCTGGAGGTCCCTTGCAACCCCTACAATTCTGTGATTCTGTGATTCTGTGATTCACAGCCCCATCTCTTGCTACAATATACTGACACAGCAATCCCCTTGCCTTGTTGGTATTCAGTCTTCCCAGGTTCCCTTTGTCCACAGCCTGTCGTAGGAGGTGCTTGTTGCACAGTTCAGCTGCCAGGTGTTTCACAGCAGCTGCCTGCCAGGCTGTTTTGTCAGGTCTCTGTGTTCTTAGAGCCTTTCTCACGTATTCAGCAACTTGACAAATTTTCTTGGTAGGAGCTTTCTAAAATGATACCATATTGTGCGTGACTTAACATGCTGTTGAACATCAGAATATCTCCTGCTTTACAAGTCCCTGAAGCATTGCCAAGCTCAGAAAGCAGAGCAGCTCTAACAGGAAGCAATAAGGAATGTAGTGGTTTTTGTAAGGAGCAGCTCTTGTCTCTATTTGTCTTCTTTTTTTTTCCATGAGATTGAAATGAAAGCAGCTACCAACAGCAGCAAGGAGACTAAGCAGCTGAACTGAGTATTTGTTAGTTCCCAATGTGATCAAACTGTGCTGACTCTGCTGTTGTAATACTTTAATTGTGCTGGTAGCCTTTCAAACTAGAGAAGTGTTGGTCAGCTTATATAAATTCTTTGATATTTGTTTTTATTTCTCTTTCTGATTGTATGTTGAGTTTTCAAGCTAGAATTTTATTGCATCAGTATTTGATCTGCAGGTGTTCAAATGCTGGGCTCTGTAGAGGAAGAGTGCTTAAGCTGCTCACAGGCATCTTGCAACTACATGCTCCTTGATCTGTGCTCTGTATGTGTTTCACAAAATGAATTTATCCCCAGTTGATGTTTCTTTACAAGAAATATTTGCAAACAACTGGTGGTACCATGCATACCAATGTTCACTGCAAATGAAAGCCCTCTCCAGTCAGACTGCAGTGTGTGATGTTCATCAGCACTGCAGTGAAACTTAGTTTATGGAAATAGTTAATTGTAGTGGATTTGCATATGAAGTATGAGCATGTTTTTTCTCTTTGGAGGAAGAAGTACTCATTTGCATGTCAGAGTGTCATGTTGCTCTTAAAAAATCAAAAGAATATTTTATCTTTAAGCAAGGATGACACAGGATCACATTTCCCCAAGAAGAGGCAGGCTGATGCTGAGTCCCCTGCAGGCCTGCCTTCAGTTTTTGTTTTCTTTTCTTCCCAACAGCCTCTATCAATGCTTTTTGTTATGTAAAATTTTACTGTAATCAAAACATTAGAGACCAGGTATGTCTTGAACTTGCCATCAGGATTATGACATGCCTTCAAGCTGTTTTGCTTTCTGGGGAGGCAGTGGTTGTTTAGAAGGATATTTTGTACCTGATATGAAATTGCTTCTCCAATGGTGGAAACACTGCTGCTAAGAAGAGATATCTTGTGGCCTCAAGCCTAACAATGAAGAGGAGGGGTTAGGCAGCATCTGTGGACAAAGACATGCTTGTGTGAGTTACGAGAACTGGTCCCAGCCTGCACAGGTTCTCCCTGTGTGATGCCCAGACTGCCAAAGTGCACGTCTTGCTGAGCACAGTGCTGACTGCTGCAAAGTTGGTCAGGTTTTGGTAAGATTCTCAGGCAATAGTGGGAAATGTGCTCAAACATCATAGTTCTGAGATAGGTGGTAGTAATGGTAGTAACAGCAGTATCATGGGTCACACAGACTTCTGTTTAGGAGTCTAAAATGGTGGTGGCTTCTGCTTCATAGTATTGAATGGAGGTGAGTGAGCAGCCATGGTGCAAGCCTTAGGATATCTTTGGCTGCGCAGAGCAGAACTGAGCTCTTGTGCTTGTTTCTGCATGCCTGAAGCTCTTGGTGCAAATCAACTGCTTCTAAGTTGCAACTGGGGCAGAGGTGTGAGGATTTAAGTTTTTTTTTTTTTTGTTTATTTGTTTTGATTTTGAAGATATCCTACAATGCATCTTTCCATGTTGCTGTGGTGCAACTTGCCTTTTACAATGCAAAGCCAAGTCTGTCCCTTAAACAGACTAACAGCAGTTTCATTTTTTTGTATCTTTAGCACTAACAACTTTTAGATTTAGAGCCAATGTTTTATTTGTGCAAGACTCAGAACTTGACAAAACACACCCCCTTAGCCAACAGATTCATTATTTACCATAGCAGGCATTGCTATAGAAAAGCAACTGAGGATCTCATGTTTCAGAATAAAGTATAAATGTTATCAGACATAACCATCAGATACTCTTTAGGGAAAATTGTGTCATGCCTAAGGGTAAACATGCTTGTGATTCCATTGGTTCTTACTCACACAGTTGTGTGAGAAATTCTTGTTAAGTGTAGGTGTATGGAAACAAGCAAGTATGTAAATCTGTGTGTTTACATGTTTGTCCAAAAGTCAAGCATTCTAATTCAGTTGGCATTTGTTATACTTCTGGGTTATGATTCTGTATGTCTCTTGAGTCGTGTAGGTGGTACTGGTGAAGGCTTCTGTGCTTTGCTAACTTGGACATGTCCTTTGTTTTCTTTTTTGATCCTTCACCCTCCCCCTTAGAGTAATAAATGCTGGGAAGAGCACACACAATGAAGATCAAGCCAGCTGTGAAGTCCTCTTTGTCAAGAAGAAAACTGGAGGCCCTAATTCTACACCAAACAAGAACTCAAAACGGAGATCATCACTCCCAAATGGAGAAGGTCTCCAGCTGAAAGACAATTCGGTAAGAAGACTTCTGAATCTTGTCAGTAGAAAAGTACAAAAGAAATATAAAAGGATGTGATGTTATGACAGTGACAGAAGAACTCTAAATGTTTCATGCATTCCCATTATGTCCTATTAACTACCTTTGCATAAATACAGAATGCTTAGCTTAGCTACATTTTTCTTAGCTCTACTATTTCATTTTTAATTCCTTGCATTGAAAAATGCTGTTTACATCTAAGATATTTTTGTTTAAATATTCAGAGGACAGTTCTCACATTTTCCTTTTCATTTCTGAAAACAATCATGAGAAATTTACTGCTTCGGAGTACTGTGAGATTAATGGCTGTGTTTAAGTTATCCAGTGAAGGTCACTGCAAGGATAACAGCATCGCTGTTTGTTTAGTCACACAATTTTAAGAAGTGTTGGACTCTTCCTTTGGATTCTACTTACTGAAGCAGGATTGCTTATCACAAACTTGGTTTAGATAGGTAGGTTAAGGTCCTCCAGCACCCTGAATTCAGTGATCAATGATCGTATCTCTATATAAGGAGAGTGATGCCATGTACGCTCTGTTAGAATCATCTTCTGTTCATCTGTTTTGTTTCTGGACCTGTTATTTCATTTGTTCTTTAAGCATGGGCTCAGGCTCCAGGAATGTTTCATACTGTGTTAAATTCAGACATTTAGCTCTCTCAAAATGCCCTGTCTGGGTGTTGAAGATGAACAGTGTGAATAACCTGAATAACCATGCATTCTCTCTTCTGTTAGGAGAACACCACTTCTGCCTAGGTGCTAACTAGTCCTTCACTGGTCTATAAATACATGCCTTTTTTTTTTCTTTTTTATTTTTTTTTTTTAATTTTTTTTTTTAACTTTTTTTTTTTTTTTTTTTTTAAACTGGGTTGTGATTACTGGTGTGCTTCAGTTTGTCTCTCACAACCCCATGGCTCAGTGCACCTGATGTCTGCAGAAGTCATTGACGTCCTGAGGACCAAGTACTACTCATCTTCTTCCTCACCTCTGGCTCCCTTTGCTCTGCTTCATACTTCCTTATTGCCGTAGCATCTTCTGACTGCTGTTTGCAAATAGCCTTGTCCTTTCCTTTTTCAAGTCTTTCTTAAAATCATTTGTACCAGTTCCCTGTGCTTATATTCCCCATTGCATTCAGACTGTCACAATTTTTTTCAAGTACGTATTTACGCTCTCCAGGATAAAGAATTGTTTCCTGTACTTGTTTAGATTAAAGAGTTTTGCATACACACAAACCAGGCAAAATAGAATTTGTTTCAACAGTCTATTTATAAAAAAAAAAGTCTGTCTTAGACCATCCAGCTGCCTGCTGTTAATTTGCACAAGTGCTTGGTTCTGTGAGTGTATTTAATTTTTGTATGCACTGATTATTTTTAATGAAGCATGTATCTGTCCACAGTACTTGCATGTACATATAAAATACACAAAAATAAGCAACTACATGCTTAGTGCATGTGATGGGTGTGTTTGGCAACAAAGGTACTGCTGTAATGCACACAGTGCACTGCAAGGACCCTGAAACAGATACTAACTTGTGTAGGTGCATTTTGGTACTGTGTAGGGATGCTAACTCTGCTCTGATATCCCATTTAAGTTCTAGGTCTAGCCTGTGGGAAAACAGATCAGCTGCCTCTGCATCCCTGCTGCAGATGGGTGTAACAGTACTGAATTTGCTTCTGTTTTCATATTCTGGGAGCATGCATGGACTACTGAAAGGTTCAAAATGATGTTTCCCACGTCCAGTTAATTTTCAGTTTTGAGTGCTACCAGATGCTTCCCAGGAGAGCAAAGGCACACTATATTTTATACAGCTTCCTGCAGTTAGTCATCTTCCCAAGAAGGTACTCTTTTCCAAACATTACGTACTTAGTGTGTGTAGATTGCATTAAGAATACAGGACCATAAAACTTCATCATCAGAAAGATGTCTTAATTAGCCTTGATGTTATATAACATTGCAGACACCATACAGTTGCAGTACAATAGTGATAGGGCCTATAAACTGATTGTGTATTTTTGTAAGCTGTTTTTTGTTTTTTTTTTAATCATTTGAATTGTCATTGGGATGACTGGATATTAGATGAGGCTGTGTTGTGTGAAATAGCTCAGACTTCTCTGATTTCTTCTTTTTTTAGTGTATTTCCTACTTTGATTCTGTATCTTTTATCTCCATTTTGGAAAAACCCACCACTTCCTTTCAAGTTTCTTAAGAGAAATCTTTTTATTTCAGATCTTCTTTACTTTCTTCTACTTCTAACATACTTTGACTGGAAGAGAGTCTGAACTGAGAAGCCAAGTGATATGTATAATACAGTACTGATTCCATGCTACTTGTTACCTTCTTTCTTCTTATCAACAACTTCTGTTTTTTATGTGACTCTTGAAGGTGCTGTAGCACTCATTATTTAGCTGTGTAAAACCTGTGCTACTATATTATTAGACCACAGCTTCTGAATTTACATTTGTTATGTATTTTCCCAAAACAAGCAGCATATTCCTGGAGAAATTTTTCTACTAGAGGGCAGTCTTACACTAGCGATTAGTTAGATTTTTTCCTTCGTACATCTTTTGCTGCTTGAAGATACTGAAAAAGGGAGGAAGGGGAACAGTACACATTATTTTGAATTATTTTATTTTATTTTTGTGTTTTAATATTGAAATTGAATATTGTACTTTTCCTTCACATAGCATTGTTAGCACTGGAAGTGAATACTTTTAAAAAATGTCTGAGTCAGTGCTAAATGTAATGAGTTAAATCTGTATCAAAAAGATAGAATCATAGGGGTTAGAAAGGGCCTCTGGGGATCAAGTCCAGCCTACTGTATAAATATAGCGTTGAGACACTCCACTGCATAGTGTAATATCATCCCAGCAAGTGTATATTAAGAAAGCCAGGGCATTAATCCTGTAGGAGCCTCATGGGGACATCACATCCCACTGTAACATATGAAATCATCTCTGAGTACAGAAGCACTTTGTAGAAATACTGGATGAAGAAGAGATGAGGGAAGTGATTTACTGAGTATTTGTCTGAAGAGGAGAGATATTTCCTAGTTTAGCTTAGTTTATTTTAAAGTATTGTGCATGAGGTAAATGCAATCTGTAACTTGGTGTCTCTTCATTTAATTCAATCTGTTTCAACTTCCTAAGATTTTACCTTTTTTCCACTGAATGTTTGAGAAGGCCTTATGCCATCTTTGTTTTGCCCAGGTTTTTGGGAAGTGCATGAAACTGAGATGGCTGCTGCATCTGAGATTGTGTGCTTAGTGTTATTTCATGCTGACTCCATCATTGCAGCCTCGCAGTTAGCAGTGCAGCTCAAGGGAGCAGTGCAAAGCCATGCTGATGTATTGAGCTTATGTGGCAAAGTTTTGATAATAGGGTGTCTGCAGAGATGAGCTGAGCCCGGCAACTCTGCTAAGTCCCATGTAAGATCAGAGCCAGCTACTGCTGCTCCAACACAGACCTGCCCCTGGGTGGAGCTGAGCCGTGAGTAACGGTGGGTGTGCTATGGGAGAACGTATTTAAGAAAGGGAAAAACTGCTGTGTAGAAGCAGCTGGGAGACAGGAGAGGGAACACTGTGAGAGGAGGAACAGCCCTGTAAGCATCAAGATCAGTACAGAGGGAGGGTGGAAGGTCCTCCAGGCACAGAGCGGAAACCCCTTGCAGCCCAGGAGAATCATAGAATCATTTGAGTTGAAAAGGACCTTGAAAGACCATCTAGTCCAACTGCTTTGCAATGAATAGTGTCACCTGCTGCTAGATCAGGTTGTTCAGAGCCCCATCCAACCTGACCTTGTATGTCTCCAGGGACAGGGCATCTACCACATCTTTGAGCAACCTGTTCCAATGCCTCACCACCCTCATTGTAAAAAAGCTTTTCCTTATATCCAATCTAAATCTCCCCTCTAAGGAGAGGCCTGTGGTGGAGCAGGCTGCTCCCCTGCAGCTCATGGGCACCACGTGGAACAGATCTCTATGTACAGCCATGGAGGAGCCCATGATGCAGCAATGGATGAGGCCTGAAGGCTACAGCCCATGGATAACTGCAGGAGCGGCCCAGGGCTGGAGCTGCAGCACATGAAGAGGAGCTTGTAGTGGGTCAGGAGGCAAAGGGAAGCTGCTGCTTGTGGGAACAGAGCTGAAGCAGTTCCTGAATGGTCGGCCCTGTGGTATATGGGCCCATTTTGAAGCAGGGCTAGGAGAGCTGCAGCCTGTGGGAAACCCACACAGAATCATTTCGGGAAGGATGGCATCCTGTAGGAGGAATCCATGTGGAGCAGGGGCACAGTGACCATGGAGGAGCAGTAGAGACAAGATTATGGGCTGACTTGACGGGAGGCCCCCATTCCCCTGCGCTGCCTTGAGGGGAGTAGGTAGAAGGGGGTGAATGGTGTGGGAAGATGTTTTTAGTTTGACTTCAGTTTCTCAATGATCTAGACTGTTATTATTGGTGATAAATTACATTAGTATCTCTTATGCTGAATCTGTTTTACCTGTGACAGTACTTGGTGAATGATCTCCCTGTACTTCTCTCAATCCTTAATCGCTTTTTCATCGTATTTTCTCCTCCTCTTCCTTTGAGGAAGAGGAATGAGAGCTCTCTCCCTTATGGTAATGCACTTGGCTGTGCATTGGAGTGCAATCTCTACAGCCAGGCTTTGCCTCACCACAGCTGCACCTGGGGAGAGATGTTTCACAGAAGTGATGCGTGGCCCTCACCCCATCCCACTCTCAGCACAATTCTGTCCCATTGCCACATGGGCTGCAGACAGGTGGTCCCATGGGACCCCTTGATCCTCCTGCCTCCATGTTGGCAGTGCCTGCCCACACTGCTGAAGTGCCCTCTAACTGAGGAATACCATGATGGTGAGCACCGAAGGCCATCAGTGAGTGGAACTCCAGCCATACAGCAAAGGATTGTCATAGCGACAGTCAGGGCTTAATGTCATATATCATGCATTATTAATTGTCATTGTACCCTG